AAGCCGAACGGATAGAAATATGAATGTCTAAGTGTTTTACTGACAAACAGATCTTTTACTTAGACAAACATAGCAATGCCACAAAGGGAAATGACTAATTCAAACATACATTCAAAAGTATTTATGTAAGCTTTACTTGTAAAATAAATTAAAAACGAAAAGAATATATGCAGAAAAATGCTCTCTGTATTGTTGATGCATTGAAAGTGTCAGCTCTTTGCTGTTTGAGCTCATTTGAAAGACTTAACTATAGCTATCCGATAAATGGAGTGGTTAAAAAAGTCAAATATTTCCCTTTAAAATGTTGAAGAATAGAAGTAAAAAGTAACATCAATTCAAAATAATCCAGTAAAGTATGTACAAGTACCTAAACGTTGTGCATTACTTGATTATATATACTTGGTTATTTTTAGTTAATGATGAAAAACAGCACAGACCACAATAAATATAGCTTAAACATGGGATAATATATCAAAAACTAACAATGTATATATATATCTAAATGTCTTTAATTTACAATTATGTACAAAAGTAAAACGCCCATAAACTGTAATATCCTACATTTACATAACATTCATTGTAAACAGTGATGAATTCCACATCAATAGACGATGGCTTGCGTGCATTGGCTTGCTCAGCATTTATCTGGTTAGCATGTAGAGCATAGCTAGCTGGAGCTTGTGGCTTTGCTCGAGAGAGAGAGGATGGCTATATGGTTATATCTGTGATATCAGTTGTTAAAGAAAAGTGTTGCTCGGCTACGTGACTAACTTTGGACATTAAATACAACTGGTGCATGTCACATCATATTAACAAAGCTTGCTGCATTAAAACACAAAGACGCAAGTATAAGAAAAACGAACATTCAGTGCCAGGAAATGTCTTGCATTTTGTGTGCATCATCAAAAAAAAGAAGATCCTTGGAGTAACTATGGCAACAACCACCAGTACAGTCTGAATAGCAAGGTGCTCCAGAGAGAGGCAGCATAGGACAGGGTCGGAGGAGCACCGCTGGACGGAGGCTGCGTATTGTCTATCATCTTCCCAGACTTCCCCTCCTCCTCACTGCTGAGAGCTCGAGTAGTCAAGAGTCTGGCCCTCGACGGGCCGTAGTCCTTCCTCTCTAGAGGGGGGGGCAAGGTGGGCAAGGTGCAGGTTTTAATTTGCGGTAGGCAGGCGACATCGAGCCATCGAGTGAGGAGTTCTGACGTTAGCTTCAGAAGTTCTTCAGGAGAGGAAGATAGTGGGGAGAACTGGGCCAGGTCCGTCTCCTCCTGGAACCTCTGAGACGAGGAAACAAGGCACAAGTAAATATTTTGAATGAAAGAAGAGAAAATCATATGACCTCAGGAGCTTAATTCTTATTACTTTACTTTTACATACATTTATGTTAAATATAAATGTAAGCAATCACAATGACTTTTTTAAGTAAGCAAGCAAGTAAGCTGTATAATAAGACATTATTATGGTATATGTTTGAAAGTAAACCCTACCTCTGTATTTTTGTTGCTTCTTATAATTTTACCCAGGGTCAGCTTTAGATCCAGGATTAAGGAGTGATTAAGGTGCTCATCCCAGAGGTTTCCGAGAAGCACATGCCATGATTCAAGCAGGACGACTGCAGCAGGGAACACACAACACTGCCAGGGAAAGAAAGAGCAACACAACAACCCTAACGTCAGGTTTAGTGTGCAAAAAACATGTGACAAATCACCACAAGAACCACATCAGTTGCTTAATTATAAGTGAGGCTCAAGGATACATGGCACAACACTTTTCTTGCTAAACTGAGCATTTACAAGGCCTGTTATTGTAACTGAAGAGGAGGTTAAAGCTAATTATTATCCTGTCAAAGAGCCCGAACGGCTGAAAGACTGTAAGATGTACGACATTATTTGCACATGAGACACCACTTCCCCTTTTGGATGTGATAAGAAACTCACCGGATCCCTGTCGCAGAGCATTCTTTTTGTGTAGCGGTGCACTACATAGTAATCCTTAGGAAATACTGTCCGCTGGAAGATAGAACAAAAGCATATAGAAAACATAAGAAAAACACCCACAAATGATTGAATAATTTACACATTTTAACTTAAGTGATTACTGAACTGTAGTAACGTTTTATTAATTTAGAAAACAACTTAACTAACCCCTAAGGGGAAACTACATTCTGTTTGATTTCTTTCACTTTGTAAAGCAACGCATATCAGTCATAAAAACTGTTTGCTGTCCGATAGCTAAAGGTTATCAGATAACAAGGCAGAGTCTATTATTCTTATTCATTTCAGAGAAATCTTCACCTTTGACCACCTCTTTTTACCACCTGACTGAAGAAAGTCAATATAAAGGTTTTTTCCTTAAAGGATAGTATAAACATCTGGTAAGCAAAGATATCATTCCTACAAAGAAGATGTTTGACTACATCAAATCATGAACAAATTAAAAAGTTCTTAACTTACAAATCCAGTTGGATTAGAGTCGATTGTCCTTTTAATATTTTTCACACCTTCCCTGTCAAAGTCACATCCACCACATCGGACAGTCAAGAGTGATAGCAACAGCAAAACTGTGAGAGGCATGAGTAAGAAGAAAAGAGACATTCAGATAATTGATGGAAACTTTCTGTGGTTTGTAACTTGTTCAACACTGCATGCCCAGTAAAAAGCAATACCTCATATCCTGCCTCAATTCAACAAAAATGATACTTGGCATGTTTTTTAAATTAAATGAATATCCCGGAAATGCTATAACAACACAACGTGACACAGCAAATCCGTTTTTGACTGATTAAGCATGACTATAAAACAACCAGTTATAGCATTCAACTTTTTTTTACCTACATAATATAGGAAAAGTTTTCAAAAAGCACCAAAACGCAGTTAATTCTTGTCTCTCACCTGGCAGTGACATCCTTTTATCTTTCTAAGAATGGACACTTCTCCATTTCTCTTGTTGAGGGCAATCTCTCTGCAGACGTGTTTCGGTGTCAGTCTGTGAAAGGCAAAGTTTCGTCCTCTGTGGTTTCTTCAGGTCTTTGACACAGAGTGCGCTGCTGTGTGTTCTCCTTCACCGTCTGATATGTAGTCTTGTTGACATCCCTTATACATTCCTTCCTTTGGAGTCCTTTTGGTACTTTCCAATAAATACCTCATTTATCTTCTCACGCCATCCCGCTCTCTCACTTTGGATTTTCCCACTTAAGCCTGAGTGGCTGCAGCCTTTTCCTATATAATCTTTTGTTTGTTTTTTACTATATCTCTTTCCCTTTCACCCTCTCACTACTGACCTAGAATCTTCTTGAACAGCCCAATTTGAACCACTCCCCTCTCCCTCGAAACTGGTTAATGGATAAAGCGGGAGAGACACTGGCCTGCTCTTGTCTATCTCTCCCTCTGGCCACTCTGTGTCCTCACTCGCTCAAAGTGAAAGTGCTCTGCTGGATTGCTTGTCTGCTCCCTTTAAGTCTCGGCCCCTCCCACCGCCACACGTTTTACCTCACTATTGACTGACCCGGCCCCTCCCCCCTGCTCCCCACATTCCCTGACACCCACCCTCTTACCCCCATCCTCCCCCTTCAGACAGGGCCCAAGGAGGCTTAGTCATGCAATTGGAGCGTATGTTTTTCATTTGGACTCTCCCCCACACCTCTGAGCCTTTGGATCCCCTGGTCTTTATCCCTCCAGAGTCAGTGCGCAATATCATTCTGTTTAATCATCACATGATCTGTTTTTTCTATAAATCAGGAATCAAGTTCTTGGGAAGAAAAAAAAGGATTGCAACACTGCATCACCAGAAAATGCAAGTCATTCTATTTGTGACAGAAAGTCATTTCTGTTAAAATGGGTTCCACAGAGATGTCTTGTGTGTTTGTGACGTCTGATAATCTAATATTGTCTGATAATCTAATATTGTGCACAGCTGTCATCATCCTGTCCATAAAGTGTTGATCTTCTGTCCCCTCAGGTTGTGTGAAGCATCATGTTATTTTGGTATTCTGTTCATTTTCTAGCAGAGGAGTTAATTAGTAAAGAAAGGAAAGAAGTTAGCAATGTTTCTTCATGTCAAAGAGGAATTGTTCTTCTGTGTGTCCTTTTTTGAACACAAGCCAAAACCAAGTTTCCCCAAGTCCTATCACTATTGAGAGGAAATGGAAACTAGAGAACAGCAGCTTCACCACAAGCTAAGCATTAACACTCCCAGAGGTATCATCAACTCAAAACCTCTTCACATATACTATGTGTTTTATGTACGGTATAAATATCCAGTCGCTGTGCCGCCTTCCTGTTTCATACATTGCTTGCATACTGAGGGAAGTAAACATGTAACTAATTTGTGCGGCCATTCCAAACTATGTTTTTGCTTATTTTAGTGAAACCGGCAGAATTAAATCCAGATTTGCGTTGAGTCAGAGAACAGCATAAACAATACAAGTTAAACTCTATTAGGACACAGTGGTACACTAGCATTGTTCAGAAGTACATTCATTTTTACAAAGAAAGCTACTCAATCCTGATATTGAGACACCTTTCTTTGTAATTTTGACTAAAACTTGAATGACCGTATTTGTTTTGACACAATTGCTAGAAAGGTATGCATTAAAAAACAAACATCCCCCTCCAATTTAAACAAAGCCGTATGTGGTTGATTTTTATTGAGTGAAGTCTGCAAGCTTCAGCAAAGCAACAGGCTCAAATAACTTTGGGATGAAAAGCTTTTTAGTGGCTCAGTGTGCAAATGGCTCATTAGGAAGCCAAAATCCTGCTGATGTGGTCGTCCGTGCTGGAGCGAGGCCGTGTTATGTAACTACATTGTACATTTCAGGACACCAAAAACCTTAACAGTGTTGTCTTACACCACTTCGGGTATGTTGGCTGACAGCCATTCGATCAAGTGAGTGGGAGCTTGCCGAGAAAAATGCTGCCCCCCCCCCCCAATCCACTCCCTATTTATTCTTCCTCTTCACCACAAGATGGAGCCAATAAAAAAAAAGGATGTGAGAGTGACTGTTCATATTCATTTTATTTTATCAGAAAAAGAGTAAACAAAGTGCAAAGTCTGTTTGTAATAAGTTAAACTTCACATATTAGTATAAATAGGTCATCTACAATAATTCCCTTTGAGAAACTCACCATTATTTAAACTGACCAAACGTGTTAATCTGTGTAGGATAACAATCAGGTTTAGGAACAGTAGAATACCCATTACTTTGAAAAGCAAGAATGAATGAGAAAAACACGTTGGTGACCCATTCACATTAGTCTTTCATCTACTGAAATCCCAAACAGTTCACAAAACTGACGATGAATGGATAGCAGCTTTCGCTTTCCCTTCATTAGTATTTCCCCCTCTTTTCAGCTCCCTTTATTTCACCCCTTCTCCCTCCTCCTCCCCCTCCCTCTCTTTGTCACTGGCTGGGGCTCCTCTCCCCTCCTCGGACGGCTGTCATTAAATGACTCTTGTAGGTTTTGCTGAGTCCAGTCATCCAGAACTTGAGCAGCCTGACGTTGTCCTCCTCGCCCGTCCCTGTGGCGCCAAGCAGGGCCAGAACCTTCTGCGTGTCCTCCCTCCCTCGCCCGTCCACTTTGGAGAACTTGAACAGCACTTTGACTTTACTGAAAGACAGAATCGGCTATGAGAATCGCACTTAAACCCTGGTGGTGGTCTGTTAAAGTAAATGGATGCTACTCACTTCATCCACTCTTCCTTCAGACACAGCAGGCAGTGAGACACGACGTCCACAGACAAGTTCTCATTAGATAGAGCCACCTCAAGCTTGTTCAGTAACGTGGGACCTGGAAAAAACAGGACGAAATGGTTTGAAATGTCATCATATGGTTGTTAGTCTTAAAGGTCCCATGTCATGCTTTTCTGGTTATTACCTGTCCCCTTGTGTGTTATGTAGCTTTTTATGCATGTAAACGGTCTGCAGAGTCACAAACCCTCAAAGTACATCCTGTAGAGAGTAAAACTCTAACACAGAAAAGACCTGTCTATGCTGCCCCAGAACGCCTCGTTGGAGATTTCTCTTTTTCTTCCTGGGTACAGTGACGTATTTGGCCCATTGATCCAAATGGACCAATCCGTGGAGCTCCTCTCACACACACACACACACACACACACTCTCTCAGCAGCAAAACTGTGACGCGCTGGGGGTGCT